TAGTGTTTAATGCTGCAGCTACTCATGCTGAATATTTATTATTTCATTTACCTGATTCTAACTGCAGTGCAGCGCTGAAGGTAAAAGCAGCCAGTTTGCAAAGGAAGGTCTCATAATGACAGATTTTATTTCACTTACTGGGTTTTTTCATATGAAGCACATCCTAGTTGAAATTAAATAAACAAGGAATAATAACAATTTCTCTAAGTTGGTCATAATGCCAAAAAGTCTTTAGAAATGAATTTTTTGTGTCTATTTTTTTAATTCAGTCACTAATTGTTCAGGAAACGTGTTTGCTCCCTGTGGTACACCCCACCATCATGCTGCCCTGAGCAGAAAGCCATGTTTGTCTTTTTCAGACAATTAAACCTAAATAGATGCTTATTTAGACGATAAAAGGAAAAGTCCAACCTGCTGTCTGAACCTAATGTCTGTCATCTGGAAAAATCTCGCCCAAACTCCATGGTGACCAGACCCCGTTCTCCTAATCTGAGAGCAGACTGCTCTGAAATCAAGTTTCTGCTGCAGAAAGAAAACAATCGTCTCCTCAGCTTTCTATATTTATCAGTGTGATTGTGTAACACAATGTTGAACCTTTACTGATAAAACAAGATTGTCTGAGTTTTGAAAGGTTTTGTTACCCTTTTCCATTATTTATCTAGCTTTTTTTTTTTTTTTCTTTCTGGTAAAGCTGTTTCTTATGCAACAAAGACGTCCTTGGGCGTGAGAAATGATTTTAGTCTTGTAGTCACGCACTCTCCCCACACATCAAACGTACAACGACTCGCCGGTAAATTAGTTTGCTATAATCTGCAGCACATCCAGCTGCAGACGGAAAACACATTTAGCATGCGGGATTATTCTCTGCTTTAAAAGGAAGAGTGAAAATAGTAGAAATTAGGATTTTGTCAGGTTATAGCAGCAGCTTCGAGGGCGTCGCAGACGGTTAACGTGCTGCACTATTTTTCTCCTCACCTCCATCCACCTCGAAAACATTCTTCGTATCTGAAACTGTGTATCACATTTTGTGAGTCTTAATAATAGATGGGTGCGCTGTAAATATTTCATGGTAGGCTGACTGAAAACACATGCCTGTTGGAGATATGGTGGTAGAGCGAGGGGGGGGATAGAGAGAGAGTGAAATTTGATCGGAAGAATTTTACCTTTCTTCGGTTTGGTCTCTGTTCTGTAGCAGAATAAATCTTAATTTGTCTCCACCCCATTCCTGATCCCACAGGGCTCCCAGGACTCCACCGGAGGACAGGAGGGTCTAGTGGCCCCACCCTTTACAACCTTCCCTCCTCCACCCCCTCCTCAAAACGGCCTGACTGGAACAGAGTTTGGCCCGGGGGGCATGTTTGGTGCTGCTGGTCAGGCCACAGCAGAGGTCGGAGCCGGCGGTAACGGAGCCACGAACGCACCCAACAGCAACAATGTAAGGACTCCTGTTTTATTATGTGAGGCTCTATAGGCGCCTCCTGCTGCAGGGACATCTAAAAAAGAAAAAGGGCTTCATTTCAGGAAGATAAAACCACTTTTATTCTATAGATTCATTACAGATAGAGTGAAATATTTTAAGGTGAGGTTATGCCTTACAGAGAATGAAATCCATAAATATGGCGTCTCAGAAAATGTAAATATTACACAATAGCAATTTTATAGCGTATATGTCATAAAGAGGGTCACTGTAGCCCCAATAGGTCATTGATGCGAAGCTGGCTGCTGCATCCAAGCATATATCTACAAAGTTGAGTGGAAGGAAAAAGTGTAAAACGGAGGATATATTACTAGTTTAACTTTATAGAATAAGTGCCCAAATACTGGACTTTAAGATTTCCTAATTATCTAAAACGAACTTGCAGACTTTGATCTTTTAAGCACAGTTTGCATTTATTTAAACTTGCGTGCGTCTGCTGATTCATTACCGCATTCAGCCATCCTTTAAGAGCACGAAATGCACATGCACTGCTGCTCCCTCCATCTGCTGTACAATGTTGTTTTTTAAATAATTCTTTTTGTTTAAATTGAGGCTTGTCTAACATTTGGACTTAAAAAATGCGTATCGCCATATTTAACACGTGAATATGTTTTGATCTGAACTCTTCCTGGAGGACCTCCTCTACCCAAGCTCAGATCTTTTACAGCCTTTAATAGGTTTTTCTTCTTGTTTAGCTCCATCCATCTCCTCCTAAGTCAGATCAGCTTCCCTCTCCTTGCTGACAAACATCCCCACAGCATGACGCCTCTAGGACTGTGCCTCGCCAGGGGAAAGGGAATGATGCGTTCAGGGAAATGTCCAGTTTTATCTTTCTACATGCAGATCAAATTGTGACCAGAGCACCACTGTTAGCATGTTAGCCTAACCCCCACCACTTTTTCCAGGTTATGAAAAAGACTTCATTAAAAAATGCCAGATTTTTATAGTGGATGACTGATAGTTGTCCTGTTGTCAGACAACCACCCGAGCTGTGGATCTCTGCAGCTCCTCCAGAGGTACTATCTGCTTCTTGGCCATATATCTCATTAACTCCTTTCCATATCTCCTTTCCTGGCTTGTCAGATTAGGTTGAAGGCCGTACCTTGGTAGGTTAAATTAAAGTCTAGTTTTATAGCAGTCAAAATAATTAAATTACCGATTTGTCTGATTATCCAGTCAGACCAGTATCAGTTTGTCCACTCCTCTTTCAAACTGCTGCAGTGAGGATCTTCTTTTTATTGCTAAAGAATCCCCAAATCTAATAACAATCCCATCAGCCTGAGCTGCGTTTGGCTTTATTGATATAAAACAGCTTTTAGAACGAGAACAGCAGATGACAGTAACACGGTAAAAGAGGTTCAGGTTACAGCAGCATCATATTTCCCAGCATATTAACATGAAGGCACCAGCAAATGGCTCGGAGCTCGGATCCTTCGCCTCCTAAAGCTGCAGATCTAGCAGAGAGCTCTCTCCATGTCCACAGCAAGAATCTAATCCTTTTCTATTCAGCCATACTAGAATTTTCTATTCCAATTTGTCCGGCCGTCTGTGCGCAGCATCATTTACGAGGCGCACAGTTTAGATCACGGCGGCGTTCGTTTGCTGCCTTTTTATTTTACAGGAATTCAAGCTTTGTGAAATGTGTTTATGTAGCGTGCTGTATGCACACGCAGATAGAGATCTAAAGCAGCTCCGGGGTTTTTGCCGCGCTTCAGTGTCGAAATTGTTTACTGGTAAAATAAACACGGCGTTCACGCTCGATGGTTTAAAGATTATCAGTTCCTTGAGATGTTAAACAAGATGTTGGCCAGTGAATGAGAAGAGCTCCGTCTCCACTGAGATACGGGCTCTTTCCAACTTATTCACACTTCTTGAACTATTTTGTTACGCTTCAGTCACAAACCTCGGTGGATGTCACTGGCGTTCAGGAAGGAAATCGATGCTGTTTCGCTTTTTTTACATGTTATTTTAAGCCAATTTAGCAGTACAGTCAATAGCTTTAGAAGCCATCTTATTATTTGATTAATTTTTTAGCATTTTTTCACAAAACTAATGACATCATGCAGCCCAAACGAATGCAGAGCTGCTTTAGAAATGGAGAGAGCACCTTTCTGCCAGATAAGGAGGACATTAATCACAGAAGCAGAAAAAGAGGCGAGTAACTCTGGTGAAGCTGCAGAGATTGGCAGCTGGTGTGGGAGAATTCAACTCCAAAAATCTGACCTTTTTAAGGCCATTGTTGAAAGCAGAGCATTAAGAGTTCACTGTAAACCATGTGGGTGAACGTTCTCTGGTCGGTTAAGCCTAAAATTGTTCATATCACTGATAGATTCATGTTTAACACAGTTTCTTTTCTTTTTATTCAACTTTGAGTTTTTTTTACCGACAAGAATTGGGAATGTGTTTCAAAAGGATAATAAACAAATGAAACATGCCAAAAAAAATATATATATACCCTTGTTTGATCATCATTTTTTGAGGAGCCACAGGAATCTCTAACAGATTTAAGTCTGTATGGTGGCTGGTTGTTATGGCTCTCAGTTAGGGACAAAAAAACAAAACATGGTAATATTGAAATCAGATTTTATATCTAAATATGGCAGAAGTATTCATTAGGCTGCATTTATTAGAAATATGCCTTCAAGTAATCTTTATTTTGCTATGAATTATATTTTCAATTAATAACCAAATAGTAAATGTTTTCTTATAGAACTTTTTAATTTTTTTTTACGTGATTTAAACCTAAACTAAAACTAAAACTATTCCAGTTTGGGAGTTCTGGATGGATTATATTCATGGACAAACAAAAGTGTTTAATCATAAATTCAATATATATTTCTGTTTTTTGCGATTTTGTTAAATAATTACTGCTTTGATTGGGTCACTCTGTCAGCTAAAAGTCTCTATTCTCTATGATTAAACAATTACTGACTTCGCTGACGAGTATTTCTATAATCAATTACTTGTTTCAGCCCTAATTGATTGTAATCCTAAAGGGAGACATGTTGGTGGCAGCATCATGATGTGGTGATGTTTTGTTTAGCAGAGAGGAAAAAGCATCAGAGCTGATGGTGGGGATGACATGATGATTAATCCTGGAAGTTCCAGGGTTAAGCTTCATATCATGTCTTCAGCCTCTCTGACTCAGTTCCAGCCTGGAACTGAGTCAGAGAGGCTGAAGACGAAGAAATATCAGTTTTCAGATGTTTTTAAAAAAAAAAGAAAAATTAAGTTTTATTACCTCACATTTCTTTGTGTTTTGAATTCCAACAATACTTCTCTCATCATCCTCAGGGAAAGACAGAGGAGACGTCCCAGGGTGAGGCGGGGGCGCAGTGTTCGGCAGGAGGTACAGGAGCAGGAGGTTCCGCAGGAGACTCTGGAGAGGCCAAAGGGACTCCCAAACGCCTCCACGTCTCAAACATCCCTTTCCGCTTCCGGGACCCAGACCTCAGGCAGATGTTTGGGGTAAGTATCTCAGAACGGTTGGGGGAGGGGGCCCCTTTTACACAGGATCAATAAATCAGTCTAGACGCATGAAGTACTGCAGCAAAAGCCCTGCTTTGTAAGGGATAGGCTGAGGCCGGGTCAGAGTAAATGGGACACAGCCATGGGGGTCATATTAATGCATGCAGAGGGGAACGTTTCTAACGGTGTCACTGTGTTAGCATTAAACTGAGGAGAAAAAGTGCAAATCTAAGCATCAGATAGATCATTTAATGCTGAAACTAGTCTTTGGTGTAACAGTGACCCCTAGTGTGCACCAGCTGAAAGTTTTGAAACACCATATATTTATATTTTTGCTAAATTCTGCTTCTGTTGTTTTTCCAGCAATTCGGGAAGATTCTGGATGTAGAGATTATTTTCAATGAGAGGGGTTCAAAGGTAAGTTTGAATTAATAAACTTGATTCTGAGAAAGGACACAGGTTTTGTGGTGAGATCAGAGTGATTATGTAAACACAACCAAAAAAGCTTCACTCAAAGCGCTGCTGATCCACAGCTTGTCTTCTGTAGCTCTGAGATTCTCACTGTATGAAAATACAGTTTCACAGTAAAAATAAATAACATTAACCCTTTATAGGGCAAGTTAGCGTTCCGTCCCTCAGTGAGGTCTAGAAGCACAAGATCTATATCCAGCCTTTCAGCAAAGATGCTGCTACATGGCTGTATATCTTATTTTGGCATTTGACCAATTAGGTGAGCCTTTGAATGATGTATTACCTACTCTAATTAAATTTGAAGAAGAAAAAAAGGTAAAAACTAATTGAAAAAGTAAAGTTAAAAATTGAATAAGCCTCGTTAACAATTATATTTAATTTTATAAACTAATAAATGTAAGTGCCAGTATCAGCATTAATGCCTCTAAGGTTATGTTGTACCAAAAAAAATTTATTTTTTCACAAAATTTCTTATAGAAGCACTTTTGTTATTTTTGTTAATATATTTGAGTAATTTGGCATTTCTTATTACATTGACATTAATTTTTGCCATCAAAGTATCCATAATTTTTTAATGTTTCAAATTCAATAAGGTCTTGTCCTGAATTCCAATAACACTGTTGGCTTGAAATTTTGATTTTCAAAGTATTTCACTGATTGTCCAATAAAGGGTTAATAATAAAAGGTGTAACATGGTCCAACAGTTTTTATATAACACCAATAAATATCAGAAAGATAAGGAGAGATTGTTCCTTTGTGCTGATTGATCTATGGTCAAACTATCCCCATGCCATGAAATATTTATCACAACGATGCTAATATTGATTATATTTACAGCTGCATCTTAAGAAATGACAATGTTAATTAAAATGACTGAATAAAATTTCTTTTCTTTTCATTTTTAAAGAGGAAAGTGTTTAGTTCAGGCCAATGAATCATAAAGAAAACAGGAAAGTCATTGTGAGCTGTTGGTGATGAGGTTTCAGTTTAATGAGGGCTCTAGCGGAGGAAAGTTTAGTGGAAGGAAAAAAGAGCAAAGATGGCAAGATTCAAAAGTTAAGCCTACTTTTAAAAGGCTTTTTGAGTGACTTACAGGTTGTTCAGATAAAAGTAATTTCACATTTTAATTGGAAATCAAGACCCCAAAGATTAAAGGAAGTCTAGAAATCTCCCTAATTTAGGCTCCTCTGAGATCCAAAGGGAAGTTTGTTGATGATTTGCAGCAACATTTAACCTGCTGGTGTTGCTCCAGCAGTTTTTTCCAAATTGATCACAGCAGAAATTTTACACCTCTATGCTTCCAGATGCTGTGAAGCTTTTATAGCTGGTTCTTTTTTGTTCACATGACTAAAACCACCAACACCTGATCCTGGTAGAGTCTTTGGAACCCCAGCTCAATACAGAGAGGGTGTATGCTGCTGCTGCAGCAGAGTGTGCTTTAGTGATAGCTGCAGCACTGCCACAGTAATGCAGTAAATCATGCTGATGGATTCAGAGCCTTTTAGTTAGCCCAATTTCTATATGAACGCATAAATACTTCATCATAATAAATGTATATTTGTAGCCAATGAGGTACTTAAAGTTTACAGAGAAACTCAATTTGGGGCTTTTCATTCCTTCCAAGATGCAAAAATCAAATTTGTGAGAAATAATTGCTTGAAATAAATTAATGAGTTAATTATATTAAGTTAAACGTTTGGATTTGAATTCATTAAACACTTTAACTGTAATGATATTCAGTTTTGTTTTTTAGATGCAACACGATTCATTGTTTTGAATAATGCAGTGTACAGTAATAGGTTGGGGAGGGGCCATGCTTTATTTCATACAGTACTAGTTCTCCAGCATTTTGGCGTTAACTAGACGATAAACCGTAAAGCAGGAGAATTGTTGCTGTGGAAATGATTGCGGTTGGCCTGGTCTCCTGCCACACATCACAGCCTTTTCATAATAACCCCCCCCTCTCTGCTCTGGGCTGCAGGGTTTTGGCTTTGTGACATTTGAAAACAGCGCAGACGCAGAGAAAGCCAGGGAAAAGCTCCACGGCACGCAGGTGGAAGGGCGTAAGATCGAGGTAACTTCCCTCCCTTCCCTGCTCTGTATTCTCTCCGCTCTTCCAATCATTACTGCCTGATCCCTGACTGCCTAGCTAGATTCATCCCTTCATCCCTGATGTGATACGCTCTGATGCAGCCTACTGGTATCCCACTTGCCCCAGTCCTCTGCAATCTTGTTTCCTTGTTTCTTTAAATCCAATGAGACTTCTTTTTCTTGATTTATAATGTTTTTTTATTTATTTTGAAATGTGCTGGGATTGATTTTTGGGGTTTGTGCAAGAACACGAGAGCCAAAGCATGCATGTGACCTGTCCTCTGCAGCCTTGTTTTCACATTAACCTGTCGGCCTTCCTTAGCTTTGTTTTTATTTTCCAGTGATGCTCACCTTGTAGCCACACTGATGTTACAATTTTTCATGCAACAGCTGGAATGATGTTTGTGTAGCTGCTACCGGAGGGCATGAGAGGAGCCCAGTGAAAGTGAAAGTATGATGCATGGCAGATTGCAGTCGGATGCTCTTATTTCTTTCTTTTTTTTATTTTCATACTGTGGATTTACCTTGTATCCCTCTTTTTCTGGTGCTAATGGCTCCTGGTGCTACAGCAGCATGTTGGGATTAACAGCAACACACTGACGCATGTTCACTTTATGCAAAATCTGGATTTTTTTCCGATGATTTTTATTGTTTCTGTGTTTTGAGGTTGTTTATCCGTATCCAGTTCCACATATTTTGTGTTTATTGAAGCATGTGCTGAGTGTTGAATGCAGATTTTCCTTTCTAATTAGGGTTTCCAGTCAGGTTTCCATGTTTGATCCATTCGTTTTAAGCTGGGGGTGATTTTTCTGCATGGGCTTACTCCAGGGGATCTTCCCCTTGTGGTGTGTGCGGGCGTGTGAGAGTCACTTCCTGCATGATGGATGAGGCTGGATGCTTTTAGCTCTTTTTACTCTTCACATCCTGCTGCAGTATGGTTGTGAAAGAGAGACAGCCACCTGCATCCTGCGGTACAACATAATCCCCTCCACCTTCAGCCAATCAGCAATCACAGCTGGAGCCAGTCCACCCTGCATCAGTCTCACCCATGTTCAGAACCTGGACCCCGTCTTTTGTCTCCCTGGGCCTTAGTTTAACCCACAGGTTGTGCATGAGATCAGCGGGAAGCGTGTGTTTGCGTTTCAGTCGTCTCGTTGCATGCGTCCTGTCGTGCTGCAGCAGTGGTGATGGTCTGTAGCGTCGTTGGGCATTGGCAGCATGGTGGGCCAGCAGCAGGAGTCAGCAGCGTGTGTCTCTTTCTGTCTGTTTATGGTGCATGAGCTTGCAGAATAAAAACACTTGATGCTGGTCATAAACCAGTGTTTCTGCATTCTTCCAACCAGACAGAAAAGCTTTATATCAGGCAACATCCTTCTTCTCTTGCAGATGTTGCTGCATTTATTTCTCACTTTGATTGGGTCCTGATTTCAAAGTTTATTAAAGGGTGTTTTAGATGTGCCAGTTCAAAACTCTGAAATTTAGACCTAGTTCCATTGTCTTGCAATAGTATTCATACCCATGAGTGAACATTTTTGCAGAGCCACCTATTGTTGCTTCTCATCATATAAGGTCGGTTTCTAAGAGACGGAAAATCGTTGCTGCATCTTTTTTCCAAAACATGCTTTGATCTGATCCAGCCGTTGGTAACCATAACAGTCCGACCAAAAGAGCCTTCTCTGGCCCCACGACTACTGAAAAGATTTTGAAATATCCTTCGAAATGAGATGACGCATAAATTTCACAATACTCCTTCAGTATCGATTTTTGTTTATAGTTTTTTTGAACAAACGTCACTAAAATCTCAAACTAGATTTCAATGCCACAGAAATTATTTGACATAATTTCTTATACAATGGGGACTAAACATCCTGTAGTAACCAAACTTAATCATGTTCTTTGAATTTGTAAATGACCCAAAGGAGAAAAAATGGAGGGGGAAAAAAGAAAGAAAAATTCTGAAAATCCACAATTTTTTATTATCATTAATTCTAATAGATCATTTACAGAATAAATCATAATTGTTATTATGACTAAGAATTGATCACAACAACGATAAATGTCCACTCCTAGTTTAGAATACAGATCACAAAGCAAACATCTGGATTGCCTAGCGTCATGATTACATTTAAATCAGAGGAAAATGTACCTTTAACCTGAGCCTGTTGTAAAGTTATCCACAGCATGCTGTTTTTTTTTAGACTAGATTAATGCTGTCTTTAAAATTAAACAAGTGGATTTGCCAGAATTTTATCAAAGGATTTCAGATGAAGAAAATTCTCCTATTTCTGGCTGAAAGAAAATGTAGCCGGTATGAATCCTATTGCAAGACGCTGCGAGGTGACATTTTCATTTGCTGTTTTCCACTCCTGTAACGTGTCCTGCTGTTCAGTTTGTAACCATCCACTGGCAGGCTAGCTGGGGAATACTCGGAGTGCATGATTTGAGTTTTAATGCGGTAAACTGCGGTCTGATGGAGGCTGTACTGTTGACACAGATGCTTTTCTTGCATGTTTTCATTTCGGTGGTTTAGTTTTAGCAATCAGGCATCAGTATCAGTTTCTTTGTTTAGTCAGCATGACTGCAGTTCTTCTTTCCTGTGGGCTTCATAGCCTTTAAAGAAGTTGATTAGCCTAATCATTTGTAGAGGAATGCTGTGCTTGATTCAGTTGCTAATCTCTTTTGTCTACTTGGTGCATGTCGGTGGGGGTCGCCTAGCTCTTTTGTTGTAGCTTCCCATTATGTGCATGTATGTAGCTTTAGATGAACAAGATTAGAAATTCATTTGTTGTGTTTTCAAAGTTAAAATGTACTTTTCTTTGTCTGGGATAAAACTCTGCGCTTTGAAGAAGTCAGTTTCCTGTATGCTTCCAATGTGTCCATGTAAGTGGCCCAACTACAGTTCACTACCTGCTTTTCTGTCATCTCATCACATCATCATCAGTATATATAGTGTTTCATAGTATACACTCTTAAATAATACACAATCCATTCATCTTGAACCATCCATGGCTCTTTATTTAATTGTATGTATGTCCTAAAAATACAAAAGTCCACCATTTGATGGTTTTTACTTCTGCCTGTGATACGACCAATGTGTAATTTATCCACTATTTGTCTCATATCCCCCCTTTTGTGGCTGTTGCACAGTTAGCTGTACACTATGACCCCTGTGCGGTCTCTAGGGATGGGCATTATTATACCGTTTATATAATAACAGCAAAAAAATGTGATATCAAACCATCTTATTGTATATTTCCTGTCTTAGTGAAGGCAAAAAGCAAATGAGAGGTCCTTTAATACATATATTGGCTTAGGTTGAGGATTTACAGAATGGATAAAAACAAAACATGGGGGAAAAAGGGTTGAATAGGAGCAAAGATATGAAGTGAATGATTTTAGTATTTGTGCATGACTGAAGCTAAAAGTTCAAGAAGATGGGATTAGTGTTCAGAGCCTCTCTGGATCGGACCCTCACCATCATCTGCAGGGCCTGCATGTCTGATATATAGCAGCTGGAATCTGTAGCGGAGATTCACTTGTCCACTACTTTACAGAGTGCTCTCTGTTTGCTGAACAGTAGTTGACACTGAGGTGTGTGTATTCAGGATGCGACCTTTATCTGACTTTACATTTCATCCTATCGTCTCTTTACCAGACCTCTAGCTGTTTGACTTCATGTCAGTTCCACTACTTATTAATAATGTTTTCTTGAAGTGTGGATGCACTCTGTTAAAATATAGTAGTATGAACTGCCGTGGGCCGATCACACGACATTGAGGGACCCCAGTGATAAATTAGCAATGCTTGTGTCATTTCTCTAAGGGGTAATAATGATGCTAAACTACAATTGACACACAGGATTCTAGCTTAAGTGTCTGTTCAAATTTGTTTAAACAAGTGTCAATGTTGTGCTGCTTGGTGGGTTTAGCAACCTAATTGTTAAGCTTTAAAAGTTCTGTTTACAGGGACTAGACTTCCTTGTCACATTGAGACTAATGTTAGAGTCCAAATTGCCCATCCCTAGTGGCTGCAGAGGTTTAATGTGCTGCGTGTTTGGTATTTATCCATTTCTAGATTCTAACATTGCTGTCCACGCTTGCCGATTAAAATCATCCCTTTTTTACCACAAAGAAATCTATATACTTTGATAAGTGTTTAATGAATATGTTTTTGTTTGTATGTATTCTGGATGTAAACTAAAAGTTATCATATAGTTTAATATTTTAGCAGCAAAAAAACTCATTTTAACTTGCTGATTGTAATATGAAACCACCATAAGGAGATAGTGTTCCTGTTGACCCTAAACCCGACTACTGTGACCAGCTGAGATGTTTGTGGTCTGTGTTGCTGAAGTGTTACAGAAAGTCACGGTTTCTCCGCAGCGCAGAGTTTTAGTCAGATATCACAGCACTAAAGGGCAGAAAGGCTGAGTTGTGTGTGAGGAAGCAGTGTTGCAGCTCTGCATGCAAACTGATTGTTGTGTTGTTGGGCATCAGTGAAAAGGAAGTGTCATCATCACTGCATGGATGTTTGTGGAGGAAATGGATGGGAAGTAGTTGTGAGAGCGGTTCTGCATGTCTGACCCTGCAGACTCCAAACACCTGAATGGAGCACAGTTTTAAGCCCACTTCGGCCCAGTTTTCCAGTTACGCTTTCCTAATGCTATTTTTAAATTAATCAAACCAATCTAACTTAAATTAGCTTTTTTTATTATTGTTTCTCAAAGCTTAAGGCTTTGAGAAAGAAGGGAGCTCCCTCCCATCTACATTTTAGAATCAGACCAATCTAAAACTATTTGTTATTTAGCCATTTCTAGGTTCTAACATTGCTGTCCATGCTTGCCGATTGATGCAATATTTTTCTCCTTGCATGATTCCCCCCTGGAATGACAAATGGCTGAAGTGTTAGCTTATCTCTGTGTTCTTTGTATGCGTGTAAAATTGCAGAAAAGGTTGAAGAAAATGGAGAAAGAATCCAACCTTT